AGAGGAAAAAATTGTACTAATTTGTTTCTACATTCATCCTTTCAACGTGCATGTCTATCTTTTGATCTATTATGTATATCAAACTGATATCATAGCTTAGGTCTTGTAATCTGCTGCCGGATTTGCTTGTGAACTGCGTTTTGCTGGTGAAGTTGTGTTTTGTTCATATTGGCCACTGTAATACCGAAAACCCAACCCACGTTTAATTCTATTATATATCATGTAGCCGGTGGCAACCAACGTAACCACGCGCAATTTAAACTAGAAATAATATAAATGCGCAGTGTGGAAGAAGCGAGCTTATACTTATACGTACCCGTTTACGGAATCGCAGTACACGCTTAGTGAGGAGCTGCTGCCAAAGCTGCTCTCCTCGTCCTGCTCGCTGCTGCTTGCTTGCTGCTACTCGCCACGCCTCGCTGCCACTGCTAGCTGCTGCCGCTGCGCTGTTGCGTGTTGCTGTTGGCCTTGCTGCGCTCGCTCCGCCGCTGCCTGCTGGCTGATTGTGCTGCTGCTGCGCATCTTAGCTGGCTGCTAGGCTTTGCAACGCTTGACTCGGCTGTTGCTGTAGCCTGTGTAACCGAATTGTGTAAATCTGCACGATTGTATTCGAAGTTGCTTATATTATGAATGCTGAACTATCCAGTTGATGAGGTATTATTCACGGTCGCTTACATACTCTCGTCTAATTATGCTGTACTGATGGGAGGAAGGTATTCTGAACTGCACCGGTTGTTCATGACCTCTGATAGGTGACCATATAACGCTGGACTGTAATCGAATTAGTGCCCAACCACACCGCGGCGCGCGATGCTTCTCCGACCCATCATCTTGCGTCCCGCACACCGCAAGGGCATGTGATGTTAGTTTGAAAGGTATTCGCGTTCATATCTCACTCGTTGTATCTCATCTCGTGTCCGCTGTAGAAGGTATATCGTGATGTATAGTTTGAATTCAGGTACTAGTCCTGACTGGCTTATTCGATTGTAATGTGTGAGAAGTGTGTGATGTATATCTAGATATGCCGCATAGGTATCACTCCTGTTGTATCAAAGCACAGTCCATTCGTGTAGAAGCGTATGTGATGTATATTTGATAGGTGTAGCGTCTCTCGGTGTTCC